ATAATATAATATATCATCAAATTAAAAACTTGGAATGCTTATATATTATAGAAAACTTTGACCAATTAACTGTAAGACGAGAATACGTATTATTATAAATTGTATCTTTTATATAACTTTCTGCATGTTATCCATTTTTTTCCAAAACTTTTTTAACTTTGTTACTTTCAACTATAAACTTTCAAAGTTTAAACGTATCATATGGTAATTATATGTGTGTGTACTGTATGTAATGTGTATATACCAATGTTCGTGTAGAACACGTGGACAATAATATAATATAATAAAATATTTATTCTTAGGTACCTACCTACCATATTATTATATAATCAGACGTTCAATATTAGATAGTATAATTTTAATTAAATATTCAAATAAGAGCTTAGTTTACAGCATAATATGCGATTTTAATTTCATCATGGTTATTGCAGTATTTTCAGTGAAAAAATTTCATTAAAAATTATCTTACAGCTGAATTGTCATGTTCCCGCACGACATTAGAATGCGATCAAATATTTAATAAAAACCCATACGAGCAACTCGAACGGCGTTGTTGAATATTTCAATTGTGAGGTGCATTATCATAATATATTTATACATTTATATATATACATGTAATATGTATAATATGTAACATTGTACATGGTGAATTGTATATTGGTACAAAAAAACGGTACGTGCGCACCTTATACCACTTGTTAACAAACAGTTTAGACAATATTACGGGTTTGACGGTTTGTTCAACTCGTTATTTGACTCGCATATCCATACTTCACCGTTGTTATTTCTCATTGCTTTGCCTGACTTATTATCAGAGTTAGGATTTTATAGCTCTATAAAACATTTAAAAAAACAACCTTTGCATTTAATATATGTACTTATGGCTTATGAGTCTATAGCTATAATAGAATGCAGTTAGTTAAAAATTATAAACTTTAAGAGTTTAGTGTATTATCACGTAAATCAAAAATTACGATGCATAATAATGATCGAGCCTTTAGTGGACATTTCATGATACAAGCCATATATATATAGCCAAAATAGCAACTTAAAATCAAAATTAGTTAATACTATATAAAATAAAGTAGGATAAAATTTGGTGTACTTTAGTTTACGTATGTAAATCTTATTTTCACCCGACATCGGCTTTGTATCAGATCGATAGGGAAAAAAAATCGAATACCTATAAAATCCACTCTGCTTAGTAGTTATTAGTGTCTTTAAAATTAAATAACAAAAGGACTATGCTACAATATATAATACATAAAGATCAGGGTCAATGATTGTGGCATTTCCCTAGTAACGAACCGTCGTCGTCATATACATCCCCCTTCCCCAATTAAAGGACTGCACAAGGAAAAATTTAGAGTAATTGGTACCAATGACGTATTTGAGACTACATTTATTTTTAATGGGGAACAAATGTTCATAAGCCCATCGTAGCCCATCCTACCCACATGGCCACATCCTCTTAAAAAAAAAATCATATTTCAAAAATAACAATTTTATTATTCAATGTAATGGATATACAATTTGCATAATATAGGTACTCGCATTGGTATGGTGAACGAGCGAGGGAATAAGACTAATCCACAGTGGCGCCATTTCAGTTTTTTTTTTTAAATAGGGGTGCCAACGTTTAAGCAGGCCAATTTTTGTTCATCTTCAGGTCACTTTTTCTTCATAGTATAAATAATACGGTGCACACCAATGAATAATAAAGGTTCATCTATAATTAATACCTAATAAATATACATTACTCCCATACATTCGCATTAATATGGTTATTATAATATATTTTAACTTTTATATATCGGCCATCATTTATACATTTTATGGTAGGCAAATAAAACATAGTAAAAAATGGGAGGCTTCCATCCCCCAAATAGTGCCCCTGCTGTAATCCAAGTACCATCTTACCGATAACGATCACGATGTGACTATATGTTAGAATATAATAAAATACGAATTTGTTCAGGCGTATCATTTTATTAATTCAAATATAGGCTATAGCCTATAGTCAGCTATACCTAAAAAGCATATTATATTATGTAAGCGTTGTTCAGGTGCATACTGTCATACGTATTATAACCATAATAATATAACTATATACGGTGAAATATTATGTACTTCACTTTGTATTTTTTTTTAACGCAGTATCACATAATTTTACTTTTAAGTACCTTAGTATATAATATATTATATATAGGTGTATACATTATACGCATATATATCAGAAATAATAAAAGAAATTAAAAAAAATAGTAGCGATTTCGTATACGATTTCATATATCATTATACTACCTGCAGATATATATTATATATTATTTATATATGTGTTTATTCTTCGTACGTATCAAATCTCGAAGGTATTCCCATAAGACACATAATACTACGTACCTACACATATTATGCTATTGCACTATATAATATGTATATAAATACGCTATCTCGAGTAGTTATCCTCACGCATTTCCCCATTTATCTCCGATTATATATCCTTTTCGAATTCAAAACTTTTGGGCAGCCGTCTATTGAATTTATCTTAAAAGGAGTTCATGGCCGTATTCAGCATACAATTTTTGGGATTTATTCTGCAAAACTTTTATTACCACGATGGCCTATACTTATTGGACCCAAAATCACATATTTTTGAAATATATATTATTTTAATTTACACAATATTTTATCTGAGCGTTAGAAAAAACTACTGAAAATTGGAAAATATATAATGACTATTACATTCAGCTTACATTATAACCTTAACAAAATTGATTATTTTGGTTATTTTTTTAAAGTAATGACCCTAGAGACTTCCCAATTATAATTTAATAATATTATATAATATAATAACTATAAAGTATATTAGGTATATGGAAAGAAATCATTTTCGAATTAATGTGATCGCATTTTATTTTTACGAGAAACATAAAAGTTTACATTTTAAAAATGTCCTATAAATATTTCAATAAACCAAACTCTGTTCAGAATCATTTTAGATTCTGAGTGAAACGATGAATGTATTGATTTTACAATGATGTGTATTTTTTTACACGATAAGTAGTCGAAATAATGCTTCGATTTTCAACTTCAGTATCTTGTTCGATTGGAAAGTGAATATCGTTGATGCATTGTGAAGGTCAAAATTTAAATTTCCCAGTTATTTTCAAAAGCTCCGCGAAAAACAAAAGAAAAATTAAGGAAAAACGGGAATTTTTACGCAAAATCGGTTTTTTCACAAAATTGAATTTGGTTTTTGGTGTAACTTTAAAACAAATGACCGTAGATACATGAAATTTTCACTGGTTGTTTATATTTGCATTTAATATACACGATACCATTTTCAAAATATTTTGATTTATTTTGAACTGTTTAGGGACATTTTAATTTTCCATTTTTTTTTTTAGTTTTTTTTTTCTATAAATATCAATAAAATTTTATTTGTTGGGTACAAAAGCTTGAAAATTAAATAGAAGGCTCCTTATGTATTGTTTCAAAGGCACATGAAAAAAATTAAAAATCCATAGTCACAATTTTTTTTATAAGCATTTAAAGTTCAAATAATGACAAAATACGTAAAAATTTAGAAAATATTTTGAGTTAGAAATTCGTAAAAACGCGTTGTAACGCGTTGTAAGTACCTAATGGATATTGTGATATGATTAATTTGGAATTTATTATAGGTACCAATTATAGGTCAATTATTTTTTTAATACCATAGATATGTATAATATGTCTTATACCTAGACTGTCATACCTTCTCCGCTCAGAATCGATTTTCTTTTACAATGAAATTATATCATTAAATTCAAATTTAATACTATCCATTATACAGTGACCCACTTGTAACCTACTGTACAGCAGAGCACCTTTTTAAATTTGATTTCTATTAAATTAATAACAGAAGTACCCCACTGAAATCTCCTGCAGCCCGGCTTTTGTAAACACACACATATATATATACAATTTATTGCACGGCATAACTTATAAGTCAATATAAGTACAATATTGTTAATTGAAAAACTTTGTAACATACTGAAGTAAAAAGAATATTTACCATAATTTTCATTTAAAAGTGTAGGATCAAGTGTTTACGCGAAACTGTTGAAAAGTACCTACAACAGTCAATCACTTATTATAATTTATATTTTAAAGGAAACTCATACGCAAAAGAACCACATGTACTTGCCATGTTTTCTTATTAAGTGTTCTCTTAAAGCAATCCTAATAAATATTTTTAGAAGCCTCCCCTATAATTTACCGCATTCAACCCTTAAAATTTAAATTATAACTTCGGGAGAAAACGATTGCGGTCTGTCACTATATCTTTATTTTGAATCTAAAAAATAACACGATTTTTGACGAATTTGAGTGAAACGTTTTTGTGCCATCTAGTTGTCATCTACTGCCATAGTTCTAGTTCATTAGTTTTCCCTCAATAATTGTCACTCGAATTACGTAGTTGTACAGAGTTTTTTTTCACATATATACTCACCAGAACGCAGAAAGATTCATAGGCAGATTTTTTATCAGATTAATATTTACACTGTAGTCTTTATTTGTTTTAACTATTTTATTAACCCATATTTCCGCTATCCAAACCGGTAATTGTTTGTGTTGACAACCATTAACTCTTATCCACGTTCTGATGAAATTAATTAAATTAAGTAAAAATACTATTAAATATTAATTATAGTAGTTCACAACTTAACGCGTGTACTATAACTGAAGTATTTAACTGATATGAGTAGTAAAATACTGTTAGTCAGCGTTTAATAGTCTCAGAGTTTCCACATTATCAAAGTACCTATTATTTAAACATTTGACTACATTTGTCCTAGATCGTTTCGTTTTGGGAGGGTTCATCGTTACAGTGTAACCGTCCGCAATTGTCTATCACCGATCATAACTTATGGAAATCGCTTTGGCCAGGCTTTAATAAACAAATAAATATAAACAATAATGTAACCCATGCTTTTGTGACCCGTACTCCCAAACAGATCCACGACGCCTTGTCGTTCGGGGGTGGCGACGGCGACGACCGGAGACTCTACGAGCTGCAGCAGGGCGCGGCGGCCAACACCCTACTGTACGTGGGACTGTGTTCTGTGGCGCTGGGCCTGATCATCGCGTTCGTGGGCACCGGTGAGAAGGGCTTCAAGACGGTCCAGCTCAGGTTCATCGGGCCCGGCATGATCGCCATCGGCGTGTGCTGTTGCGCTGTCCGCATTATGTTGTGCTTCTGTCCGCCGACGTTTTGCTTCAAGCGCCGCCGGCACAAGGGTGGCGGCGGTGCTTCAGACAAAATGGCTGAGTTCTACAAATACATGCCGTTCCGGAACCATCCGATAAACGCCAACTCAGCCGCTGCCGAACCGCTCACCGGAGTCGTCGTCGAGAACGTACCGATGACGGTCCTGAAACCGGCACTGAAACGCGTGTCCATGGCCGCTAACCAGCAACCACAAATCGTCTGTCAACAAGTGAGTCCCTCATTTTATGTTAAAATAGGTACCTATATACGTGTAAAATATATTATTTAGGTGCTATATAGGTACATTGGGCCAAAGGCCAACTATTCAGGGTGGTTATAGAGGCCCCCATATATTATGTTTAACATTTGAAGTTGGTGAATAAACGATAGAGGACCTGGTGGCAGTATTGTGGTAAACAGTTCCAAACTGTGCCTTGGTTTTTTGGACTGTAAAAATTAGGTAAGTTTCAAATATGGATTAGACGATTCAAGTTAGGGGTAACCACGTAGGAGGATATGTGAGTTTGATGCAAACCTCCCATTTTGATTTCAACCACACAACCCCATAGAAAAAATAATTGTATATTAAATTAAACAGTTTTTAAATCCTTAAAAGGCCCCTGAAATGTTCAGAAATTCAAATTAAAGTTATAATACATATATGAAACGAATTTATTTAACAAAATGAGCATTGAAATACACAATGCATTACATTTCCAGTCCTACATTATTATATAAGCTACAAACAAATTTAAAAATCTCCCCACCCCACACTTAAAATGTAGCACTATGCCACGTTGCCTGTATATCTGTATAAACCTATAACTAAAGACCGGATTTAATTGCATTAAAAACACTCAAAAATTGCATAATAAAATTGTATAATTGCACCAAAAATCCCATAAAAATTGCAAAATAAATTGCACTATAAAAATGCAAGTCGTATTTATATATTCATTAATTAATATTACATTAATTACATTTAATATTAATTTTACATTTTTGAATTAAAATTGATGATTAAATACATTTCTAAATTATTTTCATTAAAATTAAATCTTCTATTACTCAAAATATGTTTGTACAACGAGAAACTACGTTCTACGTCAACACTCGTTATTGGTGCATATTTAAAACAATTTAATAAAGTAGGCGTTATATTATCTAAATTAACATTTACTTTACCTGACATGACTTCATAGTAACACTTTAAAGTTTTATACCCATCATTTTTTTTAATTACATACATACATTTTTCCTTAATTTTTTCCCCTTCTGGACCAGGAATATTTGTTAACATATCTTCAATTTTTCTAAAAATATCCATACTTTTCAGTAGTTCACTATTAGATTCTTCCAAATTTTTGAGATTCGTGCATAACTCAGATAAGTGTAATTTTATGAATGCTAAACCACATTTGACTGCATTATCTTGTACAAGCAGTTTCAGCTTTTCGACACTTAAAGCATCATCTGTTAAAGCTTGATTAAATCTGATAGCTTTCGTAGTCGTTATTATCGCTAGTCACAGTAATTTGAGATAGAGAATTCCAGACGAGCGATAAATAACATAGATAATACTCCTTTTTACTTATAAGATCATATTAATCAAACCAAAAATAAAAATCCACAATAATGTTATTATTTTTATATTATAAAATTAGTTAAGGAATATTGATTTGTACATTTGTTTACGTGAAATATACAAAATTGAAAAAAATTGCAAAAACATTAAAAATTGCAATAAATTGCAACATAAAATTAAACAGAAAGACAGTAATTAATACAAATCGTGTACATATTTGATCAGATTTGATTTATCTTAACTACAAAAAAAGTTGCAATATCAATTAAATCCGGTCTTTACCTATAACATTCGAAAGGATACTGTATTAATTGTGTCTTTTCAAATTTATATTTACTTCAATACGTTTATTAAAGGAAGCACTCAAAAACTAATTTACTAAAACTTCCACGCCCATGTTAGACTTTCATAAAATCTAAAATGTCAATATTAAATTTACTTAGCACGGAAGTGTATATTAGTCGTGAAAAGTATGACGCTGATTTTTTTTATCCTTTTATTTATAAACATGTACGAAAGAGAAGCGTTCATTATTATTCGTATTGTTCGTTCAGTGGAAACCGTAATGCCACTGATCTTATACTGACATAAAAATATAATAAATAAGTAATAGAAAAATGTTTCAAACGAAAATATTTATACATAAAAAACATCCACCATATGGTGCAATTATTATATTCTCTTAACAGAACAAAAAAATATCCGGTCGGGACGAAATCGAAAAAACTATAAGCTCGTTGCTCTAAATTAATTTCAATTTTAAACCTTTAAATTTTTATAACACCGTGCGTCTGTATTATTGTGTACTTATAGTTTGTCTTTAATAAATTAACATTTATACATTATATGCTGTACAAGATGAATAAAATACATAATTATAGAAGTAGGTACAAGTACAAAAAAATATTAAAATATAAAAAATTGTTTCGCGACGATTTAAAATTCTAACTGTGATGTACTGGAAAATTCGATTATGCAAACAATTATTTTCATCCACTTGCTAAAGATTTTTCTACTATATAACATATAGTAGAATCCCTAAATCATATTTTAAAACTTTTGTTATACTTTAATATTGTTAATAAAAAACTACTATGAATTTTTGATATTCACATATTAAAAGGAATTGACCAAGTCTTAAGAGGGGGGGGGGCCTCGAAGACTAGACGTTCAAAGTGTGTAGGACGTTGGTGGTCGGGCAGTTGTAGACCAGCTCGTGGGATTGTGAGAGGTCAACAAGTGTCAAATGAATTAAGTACACAAATTACACCGATTTTAATTTCATGCAATAAGGTTAATTTTCTTAATATAATGTATAGGCATTCAAAAATGCAAATTTAATTTTGAAGATGTACATAGTATATATAACTGCTGCAGGGTGCGGTTTTTCGTGCCCAGATCCTCCCTTGTTCCGGAAGAAATCGTCGTATTATGTTCTGAAGAAAATTATGTTTTTTTTTACCATATTCTATAAATAAAAATAAATTATAATTTTGTGGGCATAAATTTTAATTTTAAACGCTGGCCACATAATTTGTATTAATAGGTATATTTATTCATTGTTTGTACCTACATACCTTTAACCTATTATAACTATAGTCTATAAGACTAACGATTTTGTGGCGGAATGGATTGGTTGTGTAGTGTGTATTAAAGGTAAGTTATTACTTATTATATAGACACAGAATATTTTATAAATATTATACCCACGCCATAAAATGTCCGGTCGCGTAAACATTTTAACGGGACTATTACCAATTTTCTGTCTAAAGTCTTAAAAGATAACAGTTGGTTAAAAATCTTATTCATTCTTCTATTATCGTATGAAATGTCTCCGTTATATGGGTACTGGGTAGAGGAACCAGTTTAGGTGTCTTGTTCAAAACCTGAAATTTTTCTACATATAATTTTCATTTCATGTTAAAAAATAAAAATAATGTACATTTGTACCTATTATACCTATTACCTCCTACATGGTATGTGTCATAGTCATATTGACCTATTCGCTATTCATTGATACCGTAACGAGTTTTGAACTAAAACTAAAATATAGGTATATTGGTTTTTGCAACGTGGACCTGTGACATATTATATATTGCCCTCGTCTCTTTTTATATCATTACTAATATATTGTCACCGCAAACAATATTATAGTACTTTTAATCGCAAATGAAAAATTATTTTATGTTTTAATTTTTTATGACCTATCTATTACCTATAATCTATGTGATATTATATTTTTCAACAACATTCAACACTTACAGAAATTATAAAGTAACGGCAATATTATGGTTATTTTCATAATAACCTATGTAGGAATTTCAGCATTTGTTCGCTAACCACATTGTTTTTGTGGTTTAACCACCGTTTTATGAAATAAATGTGGATTAGTTTATTTTAAAATATAAAATTATGTCAAATAAAGATAGGTTAAATAAAACCTAATTATCAGACCAAAATATAAAAAGGTGCAGGGCAAATGGGTACCTCTCTGCTATACCTACAGGCTACAGTATAGGTGTCACTGTATTAAGTGTCTTAAATTTGAATTCAAAGAGCAGATAACAAAAGTTTGAAATTAGAACCAAATAATACGACATTATGAACGGAGCGGCGTTACTCGGCATCAGCATCCAGCGCGTCCACGTAATCGGTCTATTTGCTTAATCTATATAATATTTATTTTACAATAATCAATAAGCAGTAAGCACGTTTACAAATATATATTATATAATTTCATAAAATATTACCAATTTTTATTCAAAACATCTCAAAAGTCCAAAAATAACACTAAAATCCAAAAACTCATAAAATATGCAAAAATCAAGTTTTTAATTTGAGTTGTCTATATCATGAAACATATTTTTACCTTACTATACTATTTCTTAAGCATCACATAAGAAATATGCCAATGCTATAAAATCCCAACCCAGTTTATCACCTGCACTGCTGCACGAAAAACGATTGTGCTCAGAAATGGTCTGTCAGTTTATATCAAGTATATATTTTCATGATATACTTTTTGATATTACCATTAAAGTAACTTATTTACGGTAAGGTGATTTAATTTTTGCCAAAAACATTGCATTTATTATATTAATTAATATTTAATTGTTGTAATAATGTATATATAAATAATATATATCATATTATATTATTGCTATTAAGTATCAACTTTTGAGTCAATACCACCGCCTTACCGTTGAAAAGTATGAATAGGTCCATGCCCTATGGTGTACAATATAGGTTAGGTACATGCCCTATGGTGTACAATATAGGTAATAGCAGTGGCGTATCCAGGGTAGGGAGGTTAGGGATTATATCTCCCCCATTGACCCATAAATCCCATTATTTGTGTCTTTAGCTAGTACTACCCCCACAATGAATTTTAATTTATTACTACTTGTGACATCCCCCCCCCCCCCATTTGAATTTCCTGAGCACGAAACTGGGTAAAAGTTGTGGTAAAAATGTCGTTGTGTATAGACGTATAGCAATACTTAGAATAATACTTAATATACTTAAACGTTTTAAGTCCCCAGTTTTTAACTTACAACGAAATATTTAACATCGTTATTCTTCGTTTCAATGTCTATAATTTCGACCAAGTGTAACTTAAAATATCTATAAAGAAAACTCAGTACACATTGTTTTATGATTTTTGGTTACAATATTCACTACCTACTTATGAAAAACCAGCTTGTTTTAAATTGTCAATCCTTGGCTAAAAAAATTGAATAAGGAGATTTATCTGTCTTCCACCTTCCCCGATATACCATTGTACCCTCAGGACAAAATTCTGCAGTTATCTGACAAAAAATAATATTAAAAAAGGTGCTCTGCTGTACAGTAGGTTACAAGTGGGTCACTGTATAATGGATAGTATTAAATTTGAATTCAATGATATAATATCATTGTATAAGAAAAACGATTCTAAGTGGAGACTGTATGTCAGTCTAGGTATAAGACATATTATATACATATCCATGGTATTAAAAAAATAATTGACCTATAAGGAATTCCAAATTAATCATATCACAATATCCATTAGGTATTTTTAACGCGTTATACACCAACAACAAACCCTGATACTATCATAGATGGATTATTTATTTTTTAGATTTTTTGATAACAGAATTAATTACTTACGTGGAATCTTGTTTTAAATTTTCAATCCTTAGATATAAAAGTTGAACATTTTATACATTTTTAACTACAAAATAATTATTCAATTTTAAATTTGATCAATTCTGTCAAAATTCGATCATTAAATGCTTATAAAAAAAAAATTGTGCTTATGTATTTTTAATATTTTTCAACTGATATTGTAACAATATATCAGGAGCCTTGTATTAAATTGTTACACTTTTTGGCCGAACAGATAAAACATTATTGATATTTATAGAATAAAAAACTAAAAATGTCCGTAAACAGCTCAAAAAGAGTCAAAATATTTTGAAAATTGTATGGTGTATAGAAAATGGTAATATAAACATTCAGTGAATTTTTCATGTATCTACAATTATTCGTTTTTGAATTACAATAAAATAAGAAAATCGCTACATGAGAAATCGAGTGAATATCCAATGTTATAAAAAATTGAATTTCAAACGCTCATAAAAATTTAATTTGACTTTCTTATAGACATTTTACGAATTCTAAACTCAAAATAATTTGCTAATTTTCGTGATTTTTCCATATTTTGTAAATTTTTGGACTTAAAATGCTTACAAAAAAAAACTGTGACTAAGGATTTTTAATATTTTTCAAATGCCATTGTAACAATATAGTAGGAGCCTTGTATTAAATTATCAAGCTTTTTTAACTAACAAATAAAATTTTATTGATATTTTTAGAAAAAAAACTAAAAAAAAATGGAAAATGAAAATGTGCCTAAACAGTTCAAAATAAATCAAAACATTTGGAAAATGTTATCGTGTATAGAAAATGCTAATATAAACATTCAGTCAAAATTTCATGTACCTACGGTCATTTGTTTAAGAGTTGCACCAAAAACCAAAATCGATTTTTTCGAAAACTGATTTTAGTGTAAAAATTCCCGTTTTTCCTTAATTTTTATTTTATTTTTCACTCCGATTTTGAAAACTACTGGGAAATTTTCACTTTTGACCCCCCAAAGTACCAACTAGATTCACTTTTCTATCAGAAAAGCTATTGTTGAAGAAAATCCAAGCACTTTTACTGTCCTAAAACGTGATGACAGACACAAAAAAAAAAAAACACACATCATTGTAAAATCAATACATTCATCTTTTCACTCAGAATCTAAAATATTAACCAAATAGCTTTAGTATTAATGTAATTACACTAAAATTGTTTTACATTAATTAAAAATATTGGAAACCCTTCGGGAAACTTGTGACGAACATGCAAATAATAAATCTACAGTTATAATTAAAATTTTTTTCTACCAACTCAAAAGACATATCAGGATTCAATATTCAAGTATCCATTCCAAAGATTTTGTGTTTGTCTGTCATGACGTTTTGGAGCATCAAAAAATTACTTCAATAGTTATTATATTTTAGGAGTGGTATCTGGTAGTAAATTTTATCTAGGTATAAGATACTTGGGGGTGTGGTAAATAATAGAAAATATCTACCCAGTATATTTTGATAGTTAGGAAAAACTAACTAAATAGCGAAAAAACTGGATTCAATATATATATATTCAATAATCAATTTTGTGTTTTAGTCGAAGAGGCTTGGTATTTTTTTCAAGTAGGTTTACAGGACACTATTTATGCTTTAAAGTTTTAAAAAATATTTTAAATTATGTACTTTTCTTTAAATTAAATGAATAATATTTTTTAGATTCTGAGAAGAGCGACGAATATATTGATTTTACAATGATGTTTTTTTTGTCTATGTACAAGAAGTAGTCAAAATGATGCTTCGATTTTCTACCTCAGTAATCTTTCTGATGGAAAATTGAATCTAGTTGTGCATTCAAGAGTTAAAAATTGAAAATTCCCTGTAAATTTTGAAAGCGTCGGGAAGAACAAAAACAAATTAAGAAAAAACGGGAATTTTCACGTAACCCAGTTTTTCACTAAATCAATATATTGGTTTTAGATATAACTAAAAAAAACGAAAAATAACCGTTGATAAATGATTTTTTTAATAGTAAATTTAAATTAAATAGTGATAATAATATTTTTCCTTTTCATTCATTAATCATATTTACTAAATTCTTTTTTTTTTTATAAGAAAATTTACAATCCGTACAATTTGCACAAAAAGTAAATATGATAACTGACATAATACTATATACATACATAAAAAACACACGAAGCACAAGATGAGGGAAATCAACAAGCGGTGGTCGCGGCACCAATTTCTTTTGAGTCGTCGGTGGGTTGTCAGGAAGAGTACGTGATGCTAGGTGAGTGACTAAAGGATTGGGATGGTGTTGCAGTTTAGAGTGAAATCTGTTATAGTACAATTTAGCTAGTTGGTCAACTGTTAGAATTCTTAGATCTTTTGTCATTAGATCTTTAGGACATTTTGTTACGTACCAAGGGGCCGAGGCTATTAGCCGGTGAGTGATGGACTGGGAAGCTTGGTTAGTGTGGACTTGAGAAGGTTTGGCATACCCCGACTAAATACTTAAACATTTACTTATTGATATTACTTTTATTTTAAATGGTTCCTGACTAAAATATATTTGTAATCTATAATATTTGTTGGAAAAGAAACTTCGTTTCTACCGCGTGTCCCATGACATCACTCACTTCAGGGGCGTACCCCCCCCCCCCCCATTGAGATATCTACATTTACATTTACAAATTATAGTACCTACCCATTGTTATAAACCTTTCTGTATAATATGTGCTGTGAGTGTGTGTATAACTATTGACTATTATTGTAACTATATTATAGTTATTAACAGTAATATGTTGGTAATGAATTAAACTATAATTATAATTAGAGAACAGATAAAATAAAAATTTTAGACCCCCCCCCCCAATAAAAAAATCCTGGTTACGCCTCTGACTCACTTTTTTTATTTTTCTATAAAATACTCAGTAAAAATTATTTTGCTTCATCAAAAAGTTTGAAAATGTATACGAAATTCCTCATACATTTTTCATAAGTATAACAATTAAAAAAAATATCGGTACAATTTTTTATAAGCATTTGAACTTCAAATGCTTACAAAATGTATTAAAATCATTCTGATTTAAAACATCCGTTACAGCAGGGGTCGTCGACCTTTTCCGACAAGTGGGCTACATTATATGTTTTAAATACCTGGTGATCCACCAATATTTGTTTAGGTATATTATTAAATTATTTAATAGTTATATTATTAGATGCAGTATAATAATATTATTTTATTATTTCTCCCATTGAAATCGTGTTTTTCTTCGATAATAAATACTTTACTTTGTATATAATATACAGCATAAAAGTGTAGGTAGCTTAAACTTTATGATTGCGCACGTGATAAACGGATATTGGTATAATAAATATTTAATACGATCGCCCAATATTTCTTGAACCAGTCAATCGCGACCCCTTCAATTATAGTGTCCCATTTCCACACCAGCTACTGTATAGGAGACCAGTACCTACCGGTACTTGTCCACCTTTTTGTATACCTATTTAACGGTAATGAGTATTTGTTTCACAAATAGTATTACAACTTGAATATGTTATTTACTTATATAATATAAACATTTTAACAACCTAATGACGAACACGTGCGTTGTGACATCCCGACCCTTCAAATTTTAGGTTTGGGTGTTAAACCAATATCATTCAAATTTTAATTTTAGCCATGCAAATTCATACTAAATATTGGTGCAAAAATGTTCCAATATTTCGAAATGGGCCGGGCTATCGCAACGTAAGTGATGGAATGGCTCGGCAACAAGATAACAAAAACAAGTTGTACCGGATTAATTTTTAGAGTTGGCCAAACTACCAACTTTCCCCCCCTCCATAAAATCCACTTCGTACAATACATTATGATATTATTCCATCTTTGGAAACTTTTAAAATATCTCTGTAGGCATGCGCAGTCATTAATTCCATTGTACTTTTGTATAGGCGAAACGGATGCCTAAGGCCACTCCAGAAGCCAGTCTGGATAGCAGCATGGAACATCTGATCGAACAGGACGACCATCTGTACACGAAGGACGAGGTAAGCTCGAACAAAAATCTCTCCAACCTCAAGTCAACGTTGACATTCGAGGACTCGTTGAACGTGGCCACCAAAATGATGGTAAAATCGTTCGAGGAGTTGAACAACGCGTCTTCCATGCCAGGCGGTGATTCCACCGACCATCACCGACAGGAGCTGGTGCTGAGCGCCGTGAACCTGACGAAGTAGATTTGAGCGTCGGTCCGCAAAATACAATACCTGATACATATGCTAAAATACCATAGTATTAGTACATAATATAATAAATTATTGATGTATATTCAGACGAATTTGGCTGTGACGAAAACCCCATACATATACCTAAATGGATATATATATATTATATGTGTAAATTTACGATTAACTATATAATATAATATATTAGGGTAGAATCATAGGCGGCATTGTGATGGGTAGCACGGGGTTGCAATTTCCCCATAGTATTATTTGAGGGGATAAAACAATAATTTTTCCCCTTCCGACACCAGTCAACAGGGCGTGAGATGGTAAAAGAAAAATGAATGGTTCAAGAGTGTAGCCGTGTAACTGTGTAAGTATATCTATAGCCCAATGCAATTTTGTTTTATCGATTCCAGTTTCTTTTCAATTTGCATTCCTATTATAAAATATTTAATTTCTGCGTCCTCTAGTATGTTTGCCAAGTACTACATATGGGTAAGGGTGGTATACTATTGTACGTATATTAATTTTGATATATAATTTTATATTATGAAATATATTAGAAACTCGACGACGCTTACATAATATTATTATACATTTATACCTATGGGCTACGGTTAGAAAAATAAAGCAATTTTAGTTTAATCGATTGTCGTAATCCGTGTATATAGGTGGTTAGGTATACCTATACGGCTATACTTTCATTATGTAGATGTAGATGTAGAGGTAGACAACTATAATATTATTATTGTATAATAAACGTAGGTATTACCACCTCCGTTTTGGTGACGAAAAAAAATATATACATAATATTACATTATACTCTTATCATAGGTTCATGCCAGTTTATATAGGACACGTATAGGTACAGTGTAAATATTTACAATAATATTATAGTGTACCTATAACATATATAAAATGCACCGTAATAATATGTGTATTATATACGTTGTAATATGTTATATATTATATAGGTACCTAATGCTTGGTGTTTATATAACATTCGGCTAAAAATTAGAATATCGCATTATACATCTCATTATATAAATAAAACTGCCGACCTATACCTTATATTATAATTATTTATGTGTGTATTATATATAATATATTTATAGGTGCCTAATAACACGTGTTAGTACTAAATCATGTGAAATAATATTATATTATACCATTGATTATAAATACTATAGTATTATACTGTTATACTATTAGTACTATGTAGTATTAATAATCGATGATTATACCTATGGTGTACCCACAATAACGCGGACACTCGTTTTGTTATATATTATTATGTACCTAAGTATATTATACTCATTTTTGTTTTATCGGATGAAAATCATTTTAAAACTGTTAATGTATAATTTAAGTAAGTGCGTATATAACGTGTATATGTAAATGTATAACTATTATTGTTAACAACTACTAACGATAAGAAAAATATAAAAATATATGTATATCTGAAAAAATTTACGCAAATAATACATGTTTTAAGAGAAAATTGTTTTATTTCGGACTATGTATATAGTTGCGCAACGTTGTATTATAATATAATATTGTTAAGAAGCTTTTACCCGGACATATATATATATATATATTACGCAGCAATACTTCGATAATCTAATTTTATATGTCTGGTATACATATAGCTTATATATATGCATAATATAATATAATGTTGTTCGTTACGTAATATTTCCTGCAGGTTGTTTATTATGAACATTGAACTAGGGAAAAACACATTATATATGTGGTATAACAACAAAGCAGTCATTTTACATGATCCTATAACTATGTTAAATAATAACCTCCAATTCCCATGTATAGATACTTAAAGTACGTATACCTATACGTATTACATAGTTCAGTAGTAGGGGACTGCAGCAGGCCTCCCCGAAATTTCAGAAAATTTTAAAAATTATTTCAGTGTCCACTGTTTAGAAATACAGTTTTTACGGTTGTTCATTTTTTAATCACAACAAAATAAAAAAGGTGCTCTGCTGTACAGTAGATTACAAGGGGGTCACTGTAAAATGGATGGTATTAAATTTGAATTCAATGATATAATATCATTGTACAAGAAAAACGATTCTGAGCGGAGACGGATGTCAGTCTAGGTATAAGACAAATTATATAGGTACTTATATCTATGGTATTAAAAAAAAAATTTACCTATATAATAAATTCCAAATTAATCATATCACAAAATCCATTAGGTACTTATAACGCGTTATACATCAACAAAAACCGTGATACTATCATAGATATATAATAGTACACTTTAGAAGTTTCAAGTACCCACGAATAATACTATACAATCACAACAAAATAACTAAAATAGTTATCCTAGGTTTTTTAATATGTAATTTCGTCCAAATTTAAATTTAAAATGTCTGTAAAAAATAACTGTGTTCATATATTTTTTAAATTTTTTGGTTATAGTATGAACTGTTTACGAGAACCTTTGTGTTGAATTTGCAATCCTTAGCTATAAAAACTGAACATTTTATAATTTATTAATTACAATGATTGATAATTTTCGAGATTTTGATAACATTTGTCAAAATTTGATCTTTAAATGCTTATAAAAAAAAACTGTGTCTATGTATTTTTAATATTTTTCAACTGATATTGTAACAATATATCAGGAGCCTTGTATTAAATTTTTACACTTTTTGGCCCAACAGATAAAACTTAATTGATATTTATAGAAAAAAAAACTAAAAAAAATTGAAAGCTGTAAATGTCCATAAACAGCTCAAAAAGAGTCAAAATATTTTCAAAATTGTATGGTGTATAGGAAATGCTAATATAAACATTCAGTGAAATTTTCATGTATCTACAGTTATTCGTTTTTGAATTACAACAAAATAAGGAAATCGCTACATGAGAAATCGAGTGAACAGCCAATGTTGTAAAAATTTGAATTTCAAACGCTCATAAAAATTTAATTTGACTTTCCGGTAGAGATTTTTTTATTGATAAAGGTAGACAAACTTATGAGTAATCTTGTATTACATTTTCAAATCTTAGATTTAAAAAGAAAAATTTTTACGAATTCTTAACTCAAAATAATTCGCTAATTTTTGTGATTTTTCCATATTTTTACAATTTTTGAACTTTAAATGCTTATAAAAAAAAATTGTGACTAAGGATTTTTAATATTTTTCATCTGCCTTTGAAACAATATATTAGGAGCCTTCTATTAAATTTTCAAGCTTTCGCAACCAACAAATACAATTTTATTGATATTTTTAGAAAATAAACCAAAAAAAGATGGAAAATGAAAATGTCCCTAAACAGTTCAAAATAAATCAAAATATTTTGAAAACGTTATCGTGTATAGAAAATGCAAATATAAACAACCAGTGAAAATTTCATGTATATACGTTCATTTCTTTTAGAGTTACACCAAAAACCAAAATCGATTTTTTGGAAAACCGATTTTGCGTAAAAATTCCCGTTTTTCCTTAATTTTTCTTTTGTTTTTCACTGCGCTTTTGAAAACTACTAGGAAGTTCTTACTTTTGACCCCCCAAAGTACCAACTAGATTCACTTTCCTATCAGAAAAAATACTGTTGAAGAAAATCCAAGCACTTTTACTGTCCTAAAAGGTGATGACAGACCCAAAAAAAAAATTAAAAATTAAAAAAAAAATCACACATCGTTGTAAAATCAATACATTCATCATTCCACTCAGAATCTAAAAATCGTTAAATTTGAAATCTAGACATCTAGTGAATATCCAATGTTGTAAAAATATGAACTTCAAACGTTCATTAACTTTGATTTGCTTGTAGCGTTTTTTTTTTTTTTTTTGATAAAGGTAAAAAAACTTATGAGGAATTTTGTATTACAGTTTCATATCTTAGATATAAAAAGAAATTATTTTTATGAATTCTTAACTCAAAATAATTTGCTTATTTTCGTGATTTTTCGGTATTTTGTCAAGATTTGAATTTTAAATGCTTATAATAAAACCTGTGACTAAAGAATTTTAATATTTTTCAAATGTCACTGTAACAATATAGTAGGAGTCTTGTATTAAATTTTCAAGCATTTTTATTCAACAAATAAAGTTTTATTGACATTCATAGAAGAAAAAACTAATAAAATTGGAAACTGAAAATGTCCCTAAGCAGATCAAAAGAAATCAAAATATTTTAAAAATTTTGTCGTGCATAGAAAATGCTGATATAAACATTCAGTCAAAATTTTATGTATTTACGGTCATTTGTTTTAAAGTTACACCAAAAACCAAAATCGATTTTGCTTAAATTTTCCGTTTTTCCTTAATTTTTCTTTTTTTCACGGCGCTTTTAAAAATAACCGGGTATTTTTACCTCCCCAATGCACCAACAATATTCATTTTCCCATCGAACAAGATACTGTAGTTGAAATTCGAAGCATTATTTAGACTACTTAGACACACACTACACAGACACACAAAAAAATTAAAAAATTAAAAAACCACACATTGTAAAGTCAATACATTCATCGTTCCACTCAGAATCTAAAATGGGAGTGAGCATTCTTGGTGAATTACCCTGTATGGCTACTACGGCTGTGTATCTACCACAGGGCCGTCCCTAGGGCAGGGCGAGCGGGGCCCTCGCCCTGGGCCCCGCGCCATCACCAGTTTGACAGGCCCCGCTTTTGTAGATACCATAAAATAGAAAGTTAATGAGAAAAAAAAATTATTATTTATATATTTTCATATCTTCGATTGCTGTAATTTTTACTACCTATACCTACGGCTATACCTACTTATATTAATTGACATCAGTCCGCAGTCGTCAAATAAATGTATTGCATTTAAAACGAGTTAATATGATTAAAATTCAATTTTCAAAGTGAAAATGATAAAAATCTTCAAAGCGCTCTGTCCCCCCCAAAAAACAACAACTTAGCTATAATATTTATAGAAAAAAAATGCTTAGAAAAAATGTATTGATTTTACAATGATGTGTGTTTTCTTTCTGTTTTGTATGGCGCTTTTTGGGTAGTAAAAGTGCTCAGATTTTCTAGATCAGCATCTTTACTGATAGAAAAGTGAAACTAGTTGGTATTTTTGGGAAGTCAAAATTAAAAATTTCTAGTAGTTTTAGAAAGCGTTGAGAAAAACAATAAAATAGGTGACTTTTAAACAAAACCAATTTTTGAAAAATCGATTTTATTTTTTTGGTGTATCTCAAAAATTCATAACTGTAGAACCTTGAAATTTTCAACAAATATTTATATTAGAATTCTCCATAAAACATTTTCTCAATACTTTGACTACTTTTGAGCTAGTTATAGGCTTGAACCCTTGAGAAATTTTTCCATTTTTCTAAATTTTTTTAAAATTATCCTCGATAAATTCTTTTTCATTTAGTAAAAAATCTTGAAAATGTAATGATAGGTTCCTTATAATTTTCATTAATGGAAGTTTTAAAAATACATAGGTTCAATTATTTGTTATATGCTTATAAAGTTCCAATTTTGACAAAATTCAAAAAAGTTTTTTTTTTCATACCTAACTTAAGACATTTTAATAGAGGTTTCCAACAAGTTTTTGTAATTCTATCAAACTAAAAAAGTTCCCCAGAAAGTCACGTTTTTGATCTTTGTTAATTTCTTTTTAGCTACTAAATTTGATTATTTTTACAAGTGTGCTAGGCTGATACAATGTCTCCGCTCAGAATATTTTTTCGTTTACAATAATTTATCAATGTAATTTAAATATAACACATCCATTACAACGACATTCTTGACACCCACTGTACAGCACGGTACCCACTTGTCCACCTTTTTTCATATTGTATTAGGTGCCTACTATATTTATAGACTTATTAATTTATCAATATTATTATATTAAGTATAAATATATTACGTGTTATGTTATTAATTAATTTACTTATTCATATTATTGTAAGTACAAGGTACTATATTTCTAAGTATATTTGAGCGTAGCCCCCTTATACCTAGGTAGGTATATATCATAATTCATAATATTAAATATTTAAATAAATGCAATTGCCAACTGACGATAATGACATTTTAGGCCCCACAAATTTACTCTGCCCTGGGCCCCGCAAATCGTCCGGACGGCCCTGGATTATACGGCAGTAGGTAGTAGGTGCGTGACTTTCCGTCCGGCATATTTATAGATAATTACAATAGAATAGAAGAATTAAGAAAAATGACACAAATTATAAATGGTTCATAGCTGATACATTGGTCAAGCTATGAACCATTTATAATTTGTGTAATTTTTTCTTAATTCTTCTATTCTATTGTAATTATCTATAGATATGCCGGACGGAAAAAAGGTCACGCACCTACTACCTACTGCCGTATACCTATAACGGAAGAGATCTTCAAGTCGGACGGGCTACAGGCTTGAGGACGACGGCCCTCAAACTCTCCTCAGCTCCGTTATGAACACACGGCAGTAAGTTTGCAATTCTTTCCCCTCGGCTCCACGCACGGATGCGCACGATCCTTATAAGATAAAAGATAACTAAATAATTATCTAAATAAGTCTCAACACTGGTTATATGACCACATTTCCATCAAAATTCTTAACTACACCTATTATGCATTTAGTTTTTCAGGACTTAAAAATGATTAAAGTCTTATAGTGAGACTTTAATAACTCATAATAATATTGTAAATGTAATTTGAAAACCTACATTATAAAACAAATACCTCGGGTATATTTTATTAAACCGGTTTATTCATTTATGCACAGAAATACACTTACCTAATACATAATAATATGTTACACAAATGGAATATATTATACATTATCTTATTAATATCTTCTGCACAGCAAGGTAACGGCGGAACGCTGCCGTGCCGGTCGTCATCGGTGGCGGCGGAGCAGGCAGCCAAAAATTTTCCGATGTTACAGCAGGAGGCGGAGGAGGCAGCCAAAAATGTTCTGAGGTTACAGCATGAAACGGAGGAGGTGGCCAAAAGTTTACTGAAGTTACTGCAGGAGGCGGAGGAGGCAGCCAAAAATGTTCTGAGGTTACAGCAAAAGACGGAGGAGGTGGCCAAAAGTTTTCCGAAGTTACAGCAGGAGGCGGAGGTGGCGGCCAAAAGTTTTCCGAGGTTACTTCAGGAGGTGGAGGTGGCGGCCAAAAATTTTCCGAGGTTTCCGCAGGAGGCGGGCCTGCGACGAGTGTAAAGGATGCGGACGTGGTCGGCGAGGTAGGTTTGTGGCATTGCGCGTTCAGAGTATCCAGCTCGAAAAGGTTTTCTCCTGCCGACACATCATTTTTAGCGGCAGCCCCCGAGCTCGGCAACATTAACATCAGCATGTGGTTTATTCCAACGATATCTATCGAGTTTTTCATCACATCACCTACACGGGCACACGTCATTAGTACTCTATTATCTATTAACCGTTATTTTTCTATATTATATTACTTTCAAGAACCGAGACCCTTGTCTTCAGTCTACGTAGCTTGCAACAGTCGGGTTTTTCGGTGTTTGCTAAACGAACGGAAACGACTAATGTATTACACTGTTATGGGTATAGTCAGGTCGATATATTATATAACATTACTTTCCGTGGACTGCATCTCTGTATTTTTCAACAGATCGGAGGTCAAACGGTTCAAATCTTTTTTAAGACAAGACACTTCCAATTTCAGGCTGTCGATCGATAGGCGCTGATCGTCGGCCGTCTGTTGAAAGGTATACATTGCGTCAGCCACGTGATGTTTCAACGCCAAACAATTCATTTCAACCACTTTAAAGTTATGCTGAAAATCAAATCAAAACCGTTTATCAGCACTGCGATATTATATGATTACATTCGATTGTTCCAAAGCCGTTCTTAGTTTCATACTTGTAGGTCCTCGAACGCCTGCTTTTCCACCACGTCCATATACAGTTCTAGAAAGTATGGAATTATATGAAAATAGTTTTAATTAAAAAATTATACTCAATATCATATGGAAAACTGACCTCCTATTGATTTTACGATCTTTGTGTTGTCGTTCAAGTTTTCATCGGGCATGGTCCGAAAACTTCTCGAATCCTCATCGGACGTGGTCCGAAAAATAACAGATTCCATATCGGACACGGTTCGAAAACTTACAGATTCCACACTGGACATCATGCTCCGACAACTTACAAATTCATCATCGGACACGGACCGAAAACTTTTCGATTCCGCATCGAAAAACTTATCGTTTTCGTCCTATTAATATAAATAGGTACTATATTATTATATATTTGCATTACTTGTAAATTTAAAATCATATCGAAGTTGAATTAATATTGTATTAACCTATTTAATGTGTAAAATTATCAGTAGGTCTATGGTTGAAGTTTACTCATATTTATGATTTGTAAATTTAACTATTAATATGGGTTGAAATTTACCAACATAATATATTATGCGACTTGTCATTATTTCATATTAGTTACAGATTAATAATTAAATGTGCAAGTTAAAAGTTAGTGGGCCGTATGCATAGTCATTTTAAGTAACACCTAACGGATTTTAGGTGACACCTAAGAGAATTCCCGTAACTTTGCAATGCATAGTCATAGTCTGCTGCTACATAAAGTAATCCGTAAAGTTAAGTGGTCAATATCCATCACCTAGCCATCCCGTAAATGTTTAATTTGATGTTATCATTAAACAAACCTATAATCTATATTATAACTTGTCGTTATATAATTGTATTATTCCTTTTTTTAATTAGACTTTACTGTTGATTAAGTAATTTATTTATTCACATATTATGTTCTATACATACAATGACATTTTCTAAAGAAATTTTCTCTGTATAAATGAACTTAATCTACTGCAGTACTAATGCCTAATAGTAAAGTAAATTACAAAATATTAAAATTGAAGATTTTTGGTTTTCGAAAATTCATAAACCAAAAACTATGTTTCAAAAACGTTGAATTTCGTCTTTTTGAAAAATTTTAAATATACGATGGATGCAACTTATTATTATAAACAATTAATCTCCTATGTATATGATGTACCCTACGCTTCACTGTTTTCACGTAAAACAACTCGTAATTGTTTTTGAAATTTTTGATTTTCAATTACGCTTTATCGAGAACCCGTTGGCCGAACAAATATTTTTTAGAGGTCAACATGATAACCGCAATATTTTACAATAGAAACAGTTTTTAATTTTTGCGAAATATTAAAATTGAAGATTTTTGGTTTTTGAAAATTCTTAAACCAAAAACTATGTTTCAAAAACGTTGAATTTCATCTGTTTGAAAAATTAAAAATATGAGATGGATGCAACTTACTATTATTATCACAATAATATCAAAGAATATACTTAGTAATATTTTAGGCTGACAAACCACCTCCGCTCAGAATCCTTATTCGTATAAAATGTTATTAGGTACCTATGTCATTGAATTCATATTAAACACCTATTTTTAAATTTAAATTAGAATTTTTCAACATTATAGATACTGCGTACTATATACTATTTAATTCATCAATTTTTGGTTTTATTTAATTTAGGCTATTTGTGGACCATCAATGGAATTCCTAGATTTGGTAGTTAGATGGCCAGGAAGTTATCACGATAGTTTTATATTTAATGGCAGTTATGCAAACAAATATTTTTCTGAAAATACTCATGGAGTAAAATTGCTGGGAGGCGGTGGTTAATATTAAATAATAGTTTTGTTTTCTGTTACCTACCTAACTAAAATATTGTTAATATTTAATTTTTAATTTTATCATTTTTGTAACTTATATATATATATATTATGCATGTACACAGAAGTCAGAAATTGCATAAGTTCAATTAGAAAATTAAAAATGTGCACACAGATTAAATATTTAAATAATATTAGTAATTTTTTATTAGTTATTATTAGTACCTTTTTAACATTGGAATGAGCATTGAAATTATTCATTAGACTTAACCATGCAATGTTTTTTTTTTGCTGTTTGTATTGAAGTCTTTGTTACTATCTTCTAATACGTTAGCCACCTTTCGGAAACAATGAAAAAATATTACTTTTTCTTCATGTTCCCAATTTAGCCCCCTTTCACGTTTTAAAATTTTGCTCTTTAAATCCATTATGTCGATTGTCGATTCTCCCAAGTTTCAGATTAAAAATATCAGTCAGTAAAAACAATATTCAATTTAAAACTCGAAAGTATAATATTAATTAATAATAATTATTAATTAATATTCTGATATAAAATATGATATTAAACAACTGATAAGTCAATATAAAATTTTAATAATTTATTTTACCATGTGATAAGTGATAACACCGACAATTATCATAAATATTACTGATAAGCATGGAAGAATACATTCATTTTAAGGAAAACAATATTTAAGTAATACCTAACTACGGGCCACTTAAATTTTATCTATGCAGCCAAAAATTAAGTAGCAGCTAGGTGTCACCTAGCTGCTCCATAGTTAGGTATTACCTAAGTGATTTTAGGTGCACCTTAAGTGTCGGACTATGCATACGGCCCAGTGAATTTCAACTGTTACTAATACTTAAATTTACAAACTCATAAGTGTAAATTGGCACTTATGGTAAATATTTGTACCTACCGCTATACGGCTATACCTATCTAAGCTAAAAAGTATGGAATCCTTCTGTGCAAAACCTGATATGTCCCCTTTTTCAAAAAAGTATTTTTACTGTGGTTTCCTGATCAGAAAATAAACTACACATTTCGGTGTAACAAACCGTCCGATTATTAATTACGGAGATAATATAAGCAAAATGGACTTATCAGGTTATTACATTTCAGAGCAAGAACCTGCAGGTATGCACTCTAGTCACACAAGGTTTTTGCTCCGAAACTAATTAATATGTTGGTTATACTAAAAATGACAAATATTATAGAATTTAAACGTTTATTGTTATAATATAAATTATAAACCTACATGATATTATCTATTATATTTTGTTTACCTCCAAGAAGTCTTCCATGTTTTTCATTCCATATCCATGTGTAGTTGGATTTTTTCTCCTTGACAATAGGAAAGACACTCCAGCTATACCGATGGAAGCAAAGGAAATTCCTATCAAAAATTCTTTCGAAAAATACATATTTTTACAGAAAATAGAGTTCAACGCGCGCGTACAACAAAATAATATTTTATTGTGAGTGTACTCTGTTTATAAGTAAACCGTAGTGATGTAAATAAATAACATTATAATATCGTGTTATATTTTGATATTTAAACAATTCAACCAGATAATAAATTATTATACAATATTATAGTTTAATTTATAAAGTCTTAGATTTTTATCGAACTGCGTTCACAAATTATCGTTATGAAAATCTGAATATGCATAAATTACGTCCATGCGGTGGCGGGCTGGCAATGGATGACGGGATGCAATCGCATCCCGGGTCCCAACTGAGTAGGGCCTCCAGTGTCGGACTGGCATACCAAAGGCCCATGGATCAGTTTTTTTAAGGGGCCCCCAAAAAATGTACACCGTATTTCGTTGAAACAACATATTAAGATACTTCTTTAAATATAGGTACTTTACATTTTTACTAATATGGATCATAATATATAATATATATCATAACCATGATTCATGAGTTAACTTAAATATAAAAGCAATTTTACAACTAATTATTTTTGAAATAGGTACCTACCTATACCTAGTAAGAATATTTTAAATAATAAAACACAATTTTTAAATAAGTAATTTTTTTAATTCATTAGATGAATATGCTATCGTCTCTATCAATTTTTGAGTGTCAATAGCTATATTTTTTTCTATAGCCATCAACATTAATGGAGTAAGGTGATTTTAATGTAACGTTGAGCGAAGTTTCGTTTTTATACATTTAAGCTTTGAAAATACCCTTTCGCAAGTTGTTTGTGTTGATGGCAACAACAAAGCAAACTTATATATAACAAATAAATTTGAAAATAAATTTGACTGGCATGATAATTCTCGTACAATTAAAAATGCACAGTGAATACATTTGTTACACTTATTGCAATTTACTGATTTTGATATTTCATCATTATCTTCATCACTCACATCTTCATTTCTTAAAAGTAACTTATCTTCTGAATCACAATCGGTAGTATATTTAGGTATTTGTGGTATAAAATGTTCATATTGACTGGAAAATTGTTTCAATTCTGTTAAGATTACTTGATGATTCAGTCCAGATATTTTACATATAGTACTCAAAGCTGATACAGGCAATAATTCAGTGTAGTTAAATACTGCAAAACTTCTAGGGTCCAACCAGTTCAAGTCTTTTAATAAATTTTCATTTTTCATGAATCGTGTCTCAATACTATTTTGAATAGTGTCTATAATTAAAAAAGTATCATATTTAAATTTATTATATGGAGATATAATTCTTGATTCATCATTACACTTTTCCCCAGAAAGTTTTTTTTTTTTGAAATACGTTTTATTGGAAAATCTTCTTCACAAAAGTGATTATTTATTTTTTTACAAAAATGTTGACATTTTTTATATAAATTTAATACATACTCATCATTTCTTTTTTTCTCAATTTCTTTTTTTAAAGCAGCTATCATATTCCATGCTTGTAAATAATTTATAGTTTTAG